CTGAAGAACCTTCTTTCGCCACAAAGAACCTTTTGTGAAACAGAAAGGTTCTTCAGATGTTAAAGGTTCTTTATGGAACCATTTAGACAAAAAGGTTCTTCTATGGCATCGTGAAGCACCATTATTTTTAAGAGTGTAGTTGTTAAATACCATTACAGTGATAAATCCTGCCTTTTCACAATTCAGTTCATTTCTAAAATTTCTTTATTCTTGTTGAATTTTCTGTTTAATTCTGAAATATGTCATATTGCGGAAGTGAAATAGGTTTGCGAATGCTATTTCTAATTGGTCTTTTGCTTTCCAAAGTTATGAAAATAGCGAATAAATGCAGGAAAAAAAGAGTTTTTATTCTAGACTGCTTTGCAAAAGGTTTTATTTTGAAATACTGTAATATTCTGGCATGCAGTGCCTCCATCTACACAACAATGCAGGGCTGCTTTTCCCAAAAACATTGTAGGCCTAAATAGATCATAGAAACTATCAGTGGTGTATAAAGTACCTGAAAGCCATACTCAAGTAAAAGTACAGATATCTTACCAGAAAATGACTTTGGTAGAAGTTGAAGTCACCGTTTAGAATATTACTTGAGTAAAAGTCTTAAAGTATGTGATATTTATTGTACTTAAGTACGAAAAGTATTTTTTAAATCTTAAGCGTACTTAATTATTGAAAGTAAAAGTACAAGTAAATGCAAAATGGAAAAGAAGCAAATACATTTTTTATATATATTCATACACAGCTTGAGTAGCAAGATTGTGTTCAGTTTTAACTCTTTCTTCCATTTTGTATTTTTGGGTAAGAATAAGAAGCACTTCATCTGGTACTTAGTCTCTTACATTCCAACATAAGAAAACATTTCTGGAATCTGCATCTGAAATGGCATTTAGATGTATTTACACAGTTTATGTATCCCAGAGGGGACATGAATGCATTTAAACTGCAGTTACAGATGCATAAATTTTGAATCACAAATGCGACTTATTATTCTACTTTACCAATATCTTCCCCCCATTTTTCCACAGTTTTAGCAACAGCAGCTAGCACCTGAAGGTTAAATCTCACAACAATTCCATGAGGTTATAAAAAGCTCTAGTGACCCAGTTTTCTCGACAAGCCATGAAAAAGAGGCAGAAACTGAGAAGATGTCAGAGCCGCGCAGAGGGAAGCGTGCGTTTGGCACCGGTGGGGAGTAAGTGACCCTTGGACAGATGGAAGCACAGCATGTCTGGCAGAGACAGACCTACCCTAACGGGTCATGCAGTCGCCACCACGAACCCTGGCCTCAAACAAAATAAGGCTTGTTGGGTTTTCATTTGGGCAGAGCGAGAAAATGGCATATTTTCAACAAATTTTCTGGGTTTTATTTAGACTACAATGAGAGTAACAACAACATTAGTAACAGCCCAATTTCACACAAAACATTTGCCACACAAACTACAAAACCATATGATACATAAGCAGTAGTTGGAAATCAAAAAGGAAAAGCATTAATAATAATTTATAAATAAATTGTACGTATA